GAGGCCCCGTGTGCTGCAGACTGTGCACATTAAAGATCCCTCGATAGTTGGAAATCGAAAAAGAGCAGTCTAATGCCGCTGTCCTGGCAAAATTTCCCTCATTGCACACTACATGGCGTTGCCCGTCTTCATTAGCCCACATGGTGCAGAAAAGTAGGACGTAAAACTCCATTCGTTACATTTTTCAACAATAAAATGGCAGTATTTACATATTGAACGTATTGGACTAATACCGGAAGTCAAGAGTCAGACGAGTATCTGTAATATTTACTCCTTCATCCAATTAACTTAATTTTCTCTCAAAATCTTTATCATTCCATTCCGTTTGAACTGTTTCAACTGCAGAACTATATATATAGAAACAGGAAGTGTTTGAACTGTTAAAACCGGAAGTTAGCTTCGTTACGATCAATAGAAACCGGAAGTCAGTCCATGGAAACCGGATTCTGTGGTCTTTCAATGATTGGTTTCAGTTAAACATGTGCTGATTACGGCTGATACTAAAGCCCTTTCAACACGATTAAATTTTCCTATTACTTCGAACTCTATAGAAACCGGAAGTCCGCTTCAGCAAAGGATAAAGAAACCGGAAGTAATCTTTGCAAAGATTTATAGAAACTTTAAAATGTGGTACTTTTATGATTGGTTAGAGACAAAAATGAGCTTTGTTTCAACTCGATCAAATTTAACTATTCGTCTAAACTCTATAGAAACCGGAAGTTAACTTCACTGCGAACTATAGAAACCGGAAGTAAGCTTGGCAACGATTTATAGAATCATTAAACTGTGTGTTTTTAATGATTGGCTTAAACTACATTATTATTGTAGCAATATGAATAATTATTGCTGAATCTGAAACATGTTTTTCTCACGCCGTGTAATCTTCAAACAACTGACCTATTTTCAACCTGCGTCCCTACTATTGAGCTATATAGAAATATTTAAACAGAATCTGAAACATGTTGTTACTCAGAGTTTCACGCTATGTGATCTTCAGACAACTAAAACAGAACCTGAAACATGTTGTTACTCAGATCTTTCACCAACTGGCCTATTTTAACATTTCCATATCTCGTTGAAAATAATATATATAGAGAACTAGTTTTATAAGTTAGAATATTATCAAGTGTTCGTATGATGGACGAATTTGTCTTTATGAACCGCTGTGAGAGAGGACAAATTCCCAGCGTCTTAACAAGCTATATCCGTCCGTTACTTAACACTCGCTTATTTCTCCTTTTATGAGTTTTAGAGTTGTTATCCATCGTTTCCAATTGTGATCTTCTACTCAAAATGAATAAAAAGGAATAAATTTTCATTTATTGATTACAGCTTGTGAAATAATCCTTACTTGTTTATCACTGTTTTACCCTTCAAATACAATAGAATTAATCACCAATAGACAGAAACCACATTTTCAATACGTGCACTTTTATATCCCTTTAGTATTAAATTGTATATTGGGCTAATCTTGATTTCTCTTAAAGCTTGGACTAAACACACTTTGTATACCACTAGAAGTGCAGATAATCAGGGAAAGATCGAGGTTTGGTCAAGGATCAGCTGTTAGACTAATCCTTGGTCAAACCTCTTGGTAATGATTTTACAAGGATAACAACTTAAGTTCACAAGGATCCTTTCTACTAGCTGATCCTTGGTCAAACTTCTTGGTAATGATTTTACAAGGATAATAACTTAGGTTCACAAGGATCCTTTCTACCAGCTGATCCTCAAACCTCTTGGTAATGATTTTACAAGGATAACAACTTAAGTTCCAGCTGGTCCTTGATCAAACCTCTTGGTATTGATTTTACAAAGATAACAACTTACGTTCACAAGGATCCTTTCTACCAGCTGGTCCTTGGTCAAACCTCTTGATAATGATTTTACAAGGATAACAACCTAGGTTCACAAGGATCCTTTCTACCATCTGGTTCTTCATCAAACCTCTTGGTATTGATTTTACAAGGATAACAACTTAGGTTGACAAGGATCCTTTCTACCAGCTGGTTCTTGGTCAAACCTCTTGGTATTGATTTTACAAGGATAACAACTTAAGTTCACAAGGATCCTTTCTACCAGCTGATCCTTGGTCAAACCTCTTGGTAATGATTTTACAAGGATAACAACTTAAGTTCCAGCTGGTCATTGGCCAAACCTCTTGGTAATGATTTTACAAGGATAACAACTTAAGTTCCAGCTGGTCCTTGATCAAACCTCGTGGTAATGATTTTACAAGGATAACAACTTAAGTTCCAGCTGGTCCTTGGTCAAACCTCTTGGTAATGATTTTACAAGGATAACAACTTAAGTTCCAGCTGGTCATTGGCCAAACCTCTTGGTAATGATTTTACAAGGATAACAACTTAAGTTCCAGCTGGTCCTTGATCAAACCTCTTGGTAATGATTTTACAAGGATAACAACTTAAGTTCCAGCTGGTCCTTGGTCAAACCTCTTGGTAATGATTTTACAAGGATAACAACTTAAGTTCCAGCTGGTCATTGGCCAAACCTCTTGGTAATGATTTTACAAGGATAACAACTTAAGTTCCAGCTGGTCCTTGATCAAACCTCTTGGTAATGATTTTACAAGGATAACAACTTAAGTTCCAGCTGGTCCTTGGTCAAACCTCTTGGTAATGATTTTACAAGGATAACAACTTAAGTTCCAGCTGGTCTTGGTATTGATTTTACCTAGATGATCTGGTGTTAATATTCTATATTATCTATTTCAGGTAACGTTACATGCAACGTGTATAACCCTGACAGCCATGACCATTGACAGATACTTCGCTATTGTTCATCCTATAAGATCTATCAGGAATCGAACCCCGAAAACTTCTCTTCTTATCAGCCTCGGCATCTGGATCGGTGAGTTTTATTATTTTAATACCACATCATCAAATCTTAGATCAGGTTTTAGAAGAAATTCTCAGAATTTCAGGGGTAAACAAAGCACCCTGGATACATTTCTACTTGTTTTTTCTTTTTTTCTAAATAAAGTTTCAGTCCAGTCATACCCTCCCTCCCCCAAATCAAATCCATTCAACAATGGAGACGACCATATAACTTTTCTCAGAAATTCTTAATAAAGTATTTGTTCCTTCCTTGGCTTGTACTTTTGGGAGAATCAAACCCTCCCTTCCCCGAAATTAGATCCATTCGGTAATTCAGACAACCATATAGCTTCTCTTAGATATTCTAAATAAAGTCCTAGGTCTGTACATTTAGAAGAATCAAATCTTCCCTTCCTCGAAATCAAAACAGTGAAAACAAGATAACCTTGACGTTTGTTTCTTATTTTTAATACCGGAATTAATTATCTGTTTTGGTCTGTACATTTAGAAGGATTAAACGCTTCCTTCCCCGAAATCTTAACGTTAAAACTTAGCAACCGCTGAGAATATTCAAAGTTCTGGTTGATGCATGTAATACACTGTTGGATATGATGGAATAATCACCTTGTAATCGACGATTATGACTGGATTGTCGCGGCGATACTGATATTGGTATTAAATAACAGCGGGGCGTTTTCAACATGGATATACAATAAAAACATGATACATAATAATTCATTGGCGATTCTTACTCAAAGGATTGTAAAGAGGTTTTCTAAAATTTTAATGTGTATCAGGGACACTGATAGCATCAATTTACATCATTCTAATTTTCAATCAGATGTCTGTGGTTCTTGTTAAAGGGATTGTAAAGAGGTTTTCTAAAATTTTAATGTGTATCAGGGACACTGATAGCATCAATTTACATCATTCTAATTTTCAATCAGACGTCTCTGGTTCTTGTTAAAGAGATTGTAAAGAGGTTTTCTAAAATTTTTATGTATCAGAGACACTGATAGTATCAATTTACACCATTCTAATTTTCAATCAGACGTCTCTGGTTCTTGTCAAAGGATTGTAAAGAGGTTTTCTAAAATTTTTATGTGTATCAGGGACACTGATAGCATCAATTTACATCATTCTAATTTTCAATCAGACGTCTCTGGTTCTTGTTAAAGAGATTGTAAAGAGGTTTTCTAAAATTTTTATGTATATCAGGGACAGTGATATCATCAATTTACACCATTCTAATTTTCAATCAGACGTCTCTGGTTCTTGTCAAAGGATTGTAAAGAGGTTTTCTAAAATTTTTATGTGTATCAGGGACACTGATAGCATCAATTTACATCATTCTAATTTTCAATCAGACGTCTCTGGTTCTTGTTAAAGAGATTGTAAAGAGGTTTTCTAAAATTTTTATGTATATCAGGGACAGTGATATCATCAATTTACACCATTCTAATTTTCAATCAGACGTCTCTGGTTCTTGTTAAAGAGATTGTAAAGAGGTTTTCTAAAATTTTTATGTATATCAGGGACAGTGATATCATCAATTTACACCATTCTAATTTTCAATCAGACGTCTGTGGTTCTTGTTAAAGAGATTGTAAAGAGGTTTTCTAAAATTTTTATGTATATCAGGGACAGTGATATCATCAATTTACACCATTCTAATTTTCAATCAGACGTCTGTGGTTCTTGTTAAAGAGATTGTAAAGAGGTTTTCTAAAATTTTTATGTATATCAGGGACAGTGATATCATCAATTTACACCATTCTAATTTTCAATCAGATGTCTGTGGTTCTTGTTAAAGAGATTGTAAAGAAGTTTTCTAAATTTTTTATGTGTATCAGAGACACTGATAGCATCAATTTACACCATTCTAATTTTCAATCAGACGTC